CCCCCCCACACCTGGTTTTTATACTGAGCATGATGTCACATGGTATAGAATACTCCATTGGCCAGCTGGGTCCACCACCCCGACTGTGCTCCCCCCAGCAACAGCTAAAGCATCAATGGGCCATCAACGCTCCTTTCACACCAAAACACAACGCACCCCCCAAGCTACTAGGAAGAAAGTTAACTCTGTCCCAGCCGGAACCAGGACAGTTTCTCAATTTCATTTTGCAGTAGCATCGAATAAGAGCAGAGTCTTTTTGTGCAGCCTGGTTTCCATTTCAGTTTCAGCCTACCAGAATCTATTGTTTATGTACCACTATATGACACGGTAGAATCAAGCAATGCTATAAAGGAGAAAGATTTTTGGTTCACACAAAGGGGACCATACAATATAAACCAGCGTGCAGCTGGCTTTACCTTTAGCAATTACTAACAAGACAAGACAAAAGTAGTGGTAAAAATAAAAGATTAGGTGTAAATTTTACATCTGAAAATTTAGAAACTTTCTCCAACCTGAAACTCCTGTAAGCAGAAAATAAAGGGAGATGAAAGAAAGCAGTTTTTTTATATCACAGAATTTTTTATAGACTCTTCGTTCTCTTCTCAATTTTTTTTCAAGTTGCCTAATGTCCCTTCTGTCCCCCTGTTACTAAACCTATGAGACAGCAGACATTGGTTAGGAACGTAATAGTGTTATCTTGGCCTACCATTGTATCATCAAAACTGACCATTTTTTAAAATTGGGGGTTTTTTTTCATTTTACATTCAGTTTCTTCTGAATTAGGTCTTTTTAATGTATTTGAAAAGAATGCTGTATAATGTTCCTGTAATAATACCTCCCATTCAGTTGTAGCTATTCAGTTCTACCGTCTATGATATTCAAAAGTCTTCTAATAATTTCATTTTCTTTTCCTAGGTATAAGAAAAACCTTAAAGCACTCTATGTTGTACATCCAACCAACTTCATAAAAATTCTGTGGAATATCTTTAAACCTCTTATAAGGTACTTGGCAGTTTATTCAACACATTTTCCCATTTAGTTTAAGGATGGTTTGTTCTCCAATAAGTTGCTTTTAAAAAGGCTTGAGGTAAAATATGTCAGATAACAGCACAATAGCCATTTAAATGGTCTTGAACTAATGAGTAAGGTGAGCTTAAGCTTGGGTATGAATAATAGGGTAGAGTTCTTTTCTTTCTAAGAAAAGGGAGTCTCAATTCATAGTAGTTTTACTGGTATGTTAAAGTAAATATCACTTTAAAACATAGTTATTCTGTGGACCATGAATGACTTTTTTGTCCTCTTTGACAGCACTTAGCACAATAGAACTGGGTCTGTGACTGGAGTTACTAGGTGGTATGGTAAAGCAGATAATAAATGGTTAACCTTCGGTCTGATCTCAAGTGCTGAGATGAATAGGAATGATACTACTTGTGTGTTCAAAGTTAATGGGTAAGCCCTGAAGTGCCCATAAAAATTTGAGGTGGAGGGTATAACGGTGAAGGTGGATGTATTTTACTGGTGCATTCTTTTTCTTTGCATGGTAAAAATTGGTGCTATCTACAAGGAACCGGCAACAATGGGCAGATATTGCTAAGTGCTAGGATGGTTGGGCTTTCTTAGTTTCAGCTCCTGAACTTCTGTCGCTTTTGAAGTAATTCTAACATTTTGCAGATTATATTATGAATGTCCTCAAGGCTGAAGGACGAAAACAGCTTATCTTGAGAAGCCATAATGAACCGACTAAAAGTGTCCATTACAGTAACTTGCAGTTGCTTCAATTCTGACTGGTAGAAAGCTAATTAATTAGAACGGGGAAGTTTAACTTCTAGACAGATCAGAACATGTAAGAAACATGTGAAAATAAAAAAGTAATTACAGCGAAAAATCATTCCAGAATATGCTGTTATTGAAACAAGAAGACTGACTATAGATCTTTATTTTAACTGGCAGTAAAATAAGTGCCAGAGATCTGGGATGTAGACCAATGGTGAGAAAAGTGTGACAGAAGCAGGAGGTCCAGTAGTTAATAATACCGCAGGGATGGGGATGGATTTTTTTTTTTTTGTTCCTGATTTGCTGTGGGATGGGTATGGAGAGCTTTCTAGGAAAAAAAAAAAAAACAATAAACCCAGAAAAACTCTTGATGTACATTACAACACTCAGGTGAAACCAACTTCTTTCTCAGAGGCAGCTGAGAGCTCCTTGGGAATAGCTCCAGGCGAGCGGTTTTGGGACACCGATGGTTTTAAGTATGTGCATGTTAATGCACTCAGTGGAGCCACAGCTGGACAGCAGCTGTGCTATTTGACTTAGAGTAATAATTGGCTGCTAATTCTTACAAAAGAAAAGTTTACAGGTACCTGTTCCAAATACTCATTTTCCTTGGATCTTGCTATGTCTGTGTAAATAAGATTAATACTTTTTTTTCTTGGAACAATATGATACACTGGCAATTAAATCCTTGTTTACTTTGGATGTGAAAATGGGTGATCCTGATAAGCTTAAGCATTCATACGTAGCATAGAAAATTCAAACCAGGTCTTGTTATCTTAGATTCATCATCATCTTGACCTTCTGAACACCCTGCTTTCATCAGGATTGGCTGTTCTTGTTTGTGCTTGACTTTTACGAATGTGTACCTGGATGCTTGCTTTGACTAATTTAGCAACGCAATACTCTCTGTTGTTAAAATATGTGACCAACAGAAACAAAAATATTTGCACACTGGCACTGACAAAATAATTCAAAGTATGAGTAAACTCTGAAAAGGTCAATAAGCCAGAAGGCAGGAATTAGCTGAAGCTAGGAAAAAACCCTCTTTACTGCTTAAAATGGTTTAATTACCGAATGCTCACTTGCATTTGTTGTTTAGGTTGACTCAGCTTTGGGTTTGTCAAGTAAAGGAAAATGTAAGAATATAATTTTAAAACTGAAGTATGAAAGTGCCCATGTACAATTTGACTAAATTGTACTCTCATTGAATACTAAAACCTATTAACATTGTTAATTTACTAGAATAGTACAATTTAAAATTTTTTCACAGTACCTTTTCCTCCCAGTTTAGAAATAACCTTATCGTAGCAGATCATGCTTTTAAGTGTCAATATTAAACCGAAGTTCACAAAAAGAAGGGAGAAAAATCCTCTGGACTTTCTGTTTCCTAGCTTTGCTGAATTATAGCCCAGACTTGTTTTTAGATAGTGTTTCCAATAAAAATCGCAGATGTAAAATAAATTTCATTATCAAGAAACATGTATTTGTTTTTCAGAGGTCTGTTAGTACATTTGGTACCTGTTAGTACATGGCCAAAGTACTTTTACATGAACAATGTGTTTGCTAAGAACTGGACAAATGACAGAATTATTAGGGTGAAGAACAAAAGTAGTAAGTATTTTAGCATACTTGTTTTAGAAAGTATTTAAGAAAATGTAAATACTTGAAATTTTTCAAGCTCCAGGAGTTGATTGATCTCCTTTCCAGTCCCAAAAGAGATAAGCAAGAAGGTAATGTCTTAAGTCACATATACTTTTTTCCAAACTGCAAAAAAACTGAAGAGCAGCACATTTCTGTGTGTGAGCTAACAGAAGCCACCCACCTGTTATCAAAATAATATATATTTAGGTGGTGGTGGTGATGTGGCATTTTTAAGGAACAGCAATAATTCTGAATTGCCCACAGCTTAGTTACAAATTATGTGTTCTGTAACATGTTCTGTATTACCAGAGGTGATTAGTTATAGAGAATTCTGTGCTAGCCCACGGCTTAGGTAAGATGTTGAAATCACAGGCTGTTTTGGATAAAAGACACGCGGAAGAGCTCTGAAGTTGTACATGCAGAGACTGATATCCGTCAGTGTCCCAAAACTGCTTGCCTGTTAGCAAAATTTAGCTCATTTCAATTAAAAGCTTCTAAAATGCTGAAGTGACTTCTATTCGTACCGTCTCCCACTAGAGGGAGTGTGTGTATGTGTATTGGACAATCCAGGGATAAATTCATTAATGCGAGAAAATTTTTCTCCAATTTTACTATCAAAGTAAGTTGAAGCAAAGTACACTTTTTATCATAAACACCTATTATTTTGCTTGACACTTCATTACAGGACATGTATTTTGTATTGTGGAAAAATACGAAATTATTTTAGACTATGTGTATAAATGTGTCACTGAACCTTATTTGAACACCTCAGCCTGTAAGTAGTATATTCTGGCTGAAACTAGTGATACTTGGTGCTTCAAATTTGGAAATTTCTTTTGTGCAACTCCTAGACAAACCTTATTATTCAGGATGTTTCCTAGAAGCTATCCAGCCCTTTTCAAAATAGATAAAGCTGGTGGCCCAACACTTCAAGGGTATACACTATGCATGCTTTGAAAATTTCGCCTGTCGCTTACTACTTTATAGTTTGTGTCTACAGCCCTGTTATTTTGTCTTTTGGCAGGGAGGAATACCTAAATAACACAAACATGTTGTTCTGTTGGCTGTGTAACATTTTCTCCACAGTTAATAGTTCTTTTAGTGAGCTTTCTAATGCTGTGTGAAAGCTGTTTTTCAATGGCTTTTAAAGCAGTGTTTTTCATATCTATGCAAATCACAAAACATTCAGATGGAAGTCAGTTATTTTTATTCAAATCAGACTCTCAGGCATGCACTGTATATGTTTGATCATATGAAATGAAATACATCTTATGTCTCCTGCTGCTTCAATTACAGTCTATTTTTGAGTTGCATCAGCACTTACATTTTTGTAATAGAAACTAAACCCTTCATAAATGTTCCTCCCATGCTGATTTTTATACTTCTTTGTGATGTTTTTTTTTTTAGCCATAAGTTTGGGAAAAAAATCACCTACTTGAACTATTTAAGTGACCTGAGAGAGCATCTGAAATATGATCAGCTACATATCCCCCAAGAAGTCATCCGGTACGTGGCAAGTTTAAAATACCTCAAGTTGTCTCATCTTCTCTCAGGTAGAGTTGCATCCTGTTCACTGTATTCCAAGCAGAATCTAATCCTATTTCTTCAACGATTAAAAGACTAATTTACCTATTTGTGCTTGGTTGGATTTAATTCTGAAAGCTGCATTGCCATTAAAGACATGCTGAAGTGCGTCAGGTGTTTAGAGAAGAGAACGCTATATAGTTTTCTACAGATTTGGAACATCTCCATCTCAGTTGTGGAGCGTTTTCTATGTATAATTGCAGCTTCTGTGTGAATATTAGCAAAACCAATCCATATGTCATTACTGCTTATGAGTATCACGTAATGTCCATGGGCAAAAATGTAACCCTGACCTCTTTGCTTGCATGTTTTAACAGATTAAGTGACTTCCTTTTGCTAAGAGCATTCCCAGTCAGCAAAGTGTTGATTGATTTTAAACTCTATGGATACGTCTATTGTTAGAGGATCCATTACTTTTATATCGTGTGTGTATGTGTGTTAGGGAGGAGTGTTGGTGAGGGGGTGGGAGTGGAAAAGAAAAAGAAATGCATAGGGCTGGAATTGTCAAGTGCCAGTATTAGTATCAATAACAGTCTTTTTGACACAGCACTGTACATGGAAATACTTTGATGTACTGTCAGGAAGTGATTTTATGTCACTGCTGAATGAAAGTAACTGGAAGCTTTGATTATGACTGTTATTGATGCCTGGTGGGTTTTTACACACCTTTTGTGTAAATATGGAATAGCAGAAAATACCTTGCAGCTCTAAGGTTATAAATTAGATTGCATGGTTTGCTAAAGAAAGGGGAGTTGTATTTTGAGTAGCAAATAGGTTTGAATTTTGCTGTTAAATTATAGTGCGTTCCTATTTTTTGGACACATTTATTACTGTACTCCATTGGCTGAAGCAAAAGAGCTCTTCTGTGTCTTGCTTAAGTATTCTACCACAAATACTACTTAAAAATTTCCCTAATGCTTAAATTAAATGCCAGTTTTGTAAGTTCTGTAAGACGTGCAGCATATACACTATTGTCAGGAGATCAGCATTATAAGCAATACTGGTAGCTGTTCATATATATAGTTTGTCAGCCGTGGTGCACAGAAAATCAATGATTTCTTGATTTTTGCAGACATGATGAAAATCTTCGGGGGAAACAGAAGGGAAAACTGCCACCTGTGGTTAAGGTTCCTCCACCACGGCCACCTCTACCTACCCAGCAATTTGGAGTCAGCCTGCAATAGTAAGATTTCTAAAATATGAGATTTCTATACCCTGCAGCCTTCTGTAATGTGCAGACTCACTGAACAGAACATCTGCAAATATTTTGTTTATTATATGTTTAGTTTCTCATTCTTTTTGAAAGCCATGGAACTATGAGGCTAGACAAAGGTTTTATGAATTCAGGACAGGTTTCACACTCCCAGTGACCTGCCTGGTCTTCATGTTTACAATATCTTTGTGGTAGTTAGTGCTAGCATGGCTGCACAACTCTTCTCGCAGTGGACAGAAATTTGCCCATATATGATAGAGCCCTGAGCTAAACTGTTGCTGGTGGATGCTGGCAGTACGGAAGTGTGTTGGAGATATTTAGATGGTGGATAGCAAAGCCAAAACAAAGCTTTAGGCTCCAAAATGGCTGCATAAAGCTAAAATGGATGCTTGAGCCTTTATATATTGTTGTTTTGTTGCTCACATATTGTTCTGATCAGAGTTTTATGAAATGAATAAAATCACTCTCTTCCAGAAATGCCCTGACAGCTGTTTACATAGATTACAGCACTGTATGTGGTATAAAAAATGATTTACTTTACACAAGGAATGGGATGGCAATAGTACTTGCAAGATTCAATTTTGGTAAAAAAAAAAAAAAAACAAACAACAAAAAAACCCGCAAAACCTTCTAGCTTCCTACCCACAGTCATTTTTGTCAGAGAGCTATAGAAAACTATCTTTCTATGGCATCCTTCTCAAAAACAGCCAAGAATATTGTTCACATTCAGCAAAGGCAATTTAGGCTGTCTGATACATGGACATTTGTCGAATCTCCTCCTACCCCAGTCTGCTTTTCTGGTTCTGATGATTCAGCTGTAAATGAGATATAAAATATAATTTTCCCCTGGTTAAATGTTAAGCATTAGTCCTCTCTGGAAGGCCTGAAATTAGAACAATCAATATCTATTGTGTAAGAGCTACTATGACGTTAACTTTTATGATACCTCTTTAGAGTTCACCCAAACACTTGAAACATGGCTAACTCACTTCCCTAATTCAGAGAATATCTTTTAGGTGGGCTGCGCTGGGTCATTAAGAAGGACAATGTTTTATGCCACTACTGCAGTAGTAAAACCAGGACTGTTTTGGGGGGCACACTGTCACTTCCCTCCAGCCCAGCCTGGCTGCTCAAGCAGCTCTGTTGAACTTCTTGCAGGCTTACGTGATCAGACAGCGTGTTGTGTGCCACTCTTACCATCTTCTAGTCGTATTTTATTTCTCTGACTGTGCCTGAGCAGTAAACAGTGTCTTTTGCTGGGCTGCACATGGTGAGGGTGTGGTGGCCACTCTTCCTGGCTCTGCTGCTTTCCAGCTACGTTACCATCAGCAAACCATGTCCTTGCTGCATGCCTTAGCTTTCCCAAGTATAAAAAGGGTGGCTACTTATAAAGAGCTTTTCTGTGGAGGGTCTGTGGGTGGAGAAACACCGAGCAAGGCATTACTATCGCTTTTGACTCAGAGAGTTCCAGCACTGGCGATGGAGGCACTGATGGACGGACGCCCTCCATGTGTGGGTGCAGTTCACAGCACTCGGGTGTCCGAAATGGATGTACACAGGGATATTCATTCCTTCTGTTTGCCCATCCAAATTCCCTCTTGCAGAAGAGACGGTGCTGCATCACCTTGCAAAAATCACAAACAAATAGATACCCTATGACTTCTAACTGAGAAGTAAAGGACTTAATTTAGAATGTGTTTGTGAAGAAAGGTAAAGTTAACCTTTAGGAGAGGGAATGATGTGTGTGGAGAGCTTCTAAAATCTGAACCAAAAAAAAGTATCAACTTTTATCTTGATGAATGAATTGCTTTTGGTAATTCCCTCTCCTTTTATGATCTCTGTAGACTGTAATGGCAAAATGGCAGTGACCTCCCACCTGTCTAGCAAAGAGGCAGGTTTGAAGTCTTCTCCTGGGTGAGGCTCTTCCGTTTTTCTGAAGAGAGCTACAGGGAGACCCTGATTTTATTTTGTATAGGCTTATGGGAATATGTGTGCTGTGTCTTTCATTACAGTTAGTAAAAATTGTACTGTCAGAGATGCTGCTGAGAGAAAGCTACTGTCGTTAAAGGACTGTTTCTCTGTGGAGTCTTTTTCTTTAGTTTAAGAAAAGAAACAATAAGGCCCATAGGCCTGAGGTTTCATCAGATTCAGTACTGCTGGGATGATGATTTTTATTCAGTCAGTAAAAGGTTGGTGAATGGGATTTATCCAAAGCCCTCATAGGTGGCCTAATTTTGATAAGATGTTTGATAATGGTATCCCAATGACTTCTGGCTGTGGAAGGTGGTAAAACCATACCCTTTTGAATGTGTCTCCCTAAAAGCAGCGAGCAATACTGTCTCTGGTAACACTTCCTCATTTAACTTTTTTCTCCGTTTGTATTGGTTAATACATTTGCTTTCCAGAGCTATAATTAAAAACTAGAAGAGCAAAAAGTGCTAAGCGTTGGTTCAAAATGTCATACTTTTGTCCAACAGGCAGGGGGGAAAACCTGTTAGGTTTTGTTAGGACAGCAAAATGAAGCTGAACGAAGTTTCCATCTAGACACTGATAAATGACTGACTCGGACCAGTGCCTCGTCTTGGAGGAATCTGTTAACTCACAAAGACATTTTTAACCTTGTAGAGTCGGATTTTCAAAATGACATAAGGCAACTGGGCATTTAAAAATCGTGGAAGGTCTGTGAGAGCTGGAAATATAATTCTTTGAAATGTAATCTATACTGAATTGGGTTTAATTTATGAGCGAGCTGAAGGGCTTATTATCAGGTTAGTTCAGAACTTTTCTTTCTTATCTTTCTTTCTCCCCATCCACTCAGGATCCAAAACCTGAATTTAAAATGGCTGCATTTGATCTCTTTTAACCCCTCAGTGTCACCCTAAACTCTTTGTGGGGAGCAAAAAACAAACACACACCAAGCTGACTTCATCTTAAGTGTCCATCCAGCTTTATTTACATTTACTTGTCTAGGATTTAAGCGTGTACTTTATGTTAGGAACAGATGTGAAGTGGAAAACCTTCCTCACTGTGAGCTCCTGACTCAATAATTTGGTCTTTGCAGCTAGAACTTGAATCTAATACCAAGTTGTCCTGAAGTTTCCACTGAAACTACGCTAATTCAAATAATAATAAATTAGTTTAGTAAAGGCAGTTAAAACATCCAAAGCTGTCTTATAGGATGTCTTTAGAATAAAGTGTGGGGGACCAAAAAGGATTGGCTGTCTCCTTATTTAATTCTTTATGCCTACATGTACAGAGCAGATTTGCCCAGTTTACCAAGTGACAGTCTTTCCATAGCGTTTCTGATCCCCAGCCTGGATTGCCTGGTTGCCAAATGGCACCTTTAAAGGTTTGAACTCATCTTAAAAACTATGTGAAAATATAAAACACCACCACTGAAACTAATACTCATCTCCATGGGGATACTAGACAGAACAGTCCTCCTGAGGAGGTTTTGTCCACACTTAATTTTTCAGTTATAATTTAATGGGCATACATGCTCGGATTTGGCAAGTACTTAAGAATGTGTAGCACAGAGTGGGTGGGATAGTTTGCACGAGTAGTGTTTATTATGTCCTTCTCTAACTTGCTAATTCAGGCTTCTTATGTGCGGATAGAATGAGGAGAATAACAACCATAATGAGCTAGTTTAAAGGTTTATCAAGCCTCATGTCATGTCTCCAGTAGAGAGCAATAGCAGATGTTAGCAGGGAGCAGTGTTAGAACAGGGCAAGCGTACAGCGATACTTCCTTGGGTATAATGTCCCAGCTTGTAGTGATCAGAGACTGATAGAGAAGAGTACTACAGTACTATGGAAATGACTTTCTGTTACTCACCAGTAGTTATCGCTTTTATAAATGCAGACATTTCAAAGAATGTTCATGCATTGTATTGATATAGCAAGACTATTTTTCTGTTCTTTCAGCAATGCTACCTTCACGCACAAAATGTAGAGCAGCAGTAATTAACTATTCAGAATATATCCTCACTAGTTTGCACTGCGTGTCAGGGTGAAAAATAGGATTTTTATTCTAAAAGCCATTAGTAAAGATGTTACGTTTAAAAAGGCAAGGAAAAATTTGGGGGACCCTCTGCTTATGTTGATCAGCGAAATATAGTTAAAATGCATGAGTGAAGTTTCATAAATTTGCAGCACTTTGAAGGAATTAATAATTGACTATATAGGGCCAAGTGGCATTATTGTCCTCTGCTGTGTGTTCAGCAAGGTCTTATAAACCCCTGTTGCTGCACCCGATTGCCTCTGTAATCAAGGAAGGCTACAGCTGAGCTCCAGCACAGAGCAGAGAGTTGACCTTGACTAGCTATTGACATTGTTCTGTTTTCTCCAATTGGTTTTAAAATCTAAAATCAAATATCTTCTGTGGGAAGAGAGGAAATGTTTTGGTTTTCTATCTATTGCTATGGATGGGGAGGGGGGGCAGAGAAAATGCACAAAATTGCCACCGCTATACAGCTTTTGCTTGTTGAATTGTTATCATAAACATTTCAGGGTGCTTTCCTTTTGGTCGTAATCTTTCCACTTGTGCATGCTGTGCATGCGTGACCGGGGAGGAAGAATGCATTCTAAACCAAATCTCAGCATGTCTCACCAGGGAAAAAATGAAAAGGAGAGGAAAAGCAGAGAGAGAGAGATTGTCAGCCAAGAATACTTAATGACACTTCAGAACAATGTGTAAAGGCCTTTCGTGATAACTGTCCACTGTCTAAATGAGTCATTGGGTATATAACATGTTGCAGTAACTAATCATATATCCTATAGTGAGGAGTACTCATTTTCCCAGGCTACTGTGTTTACCAGAATAGATCCCTCTTGAATCTGACATGTTGCTGCAATACGATTCAAATCTGTGAATCAGTTACAGAAAACTATCCTGTGCACTGAAATGCTCTGTTACGCTCGTCTCTTAAGCAGAAGGAGTGAGAGATCTCTCATTTCAAATTGCCCGTAGTAGTGCCTGATCTCCAATGTCAGTTGGCATTGTCCGTCATAAAGCACAGCTGCTCATCACACCATCCTGAACAAGGCAAGAAAAATGCAGATTACTTGACAGGATCCACAAAGAGAGGATAGAGGTGTAATTTCATTGACCTCTGAGCCAGTCTGATTTACATTAGCTGAAATAATGTCCATATTATTTTCTGTCACCTTAGGCCCAGTAAACTGAACGCTGTGTCCCACATTGTGAAATGCTATGAAAATATGCATCCTAGCTTTCCCCAGTGTTGCAAAAACAGCACAATCCTTTGCATGTGACTTTCAGTGAATATCCTACTCTATTTTAAAATACTATTTATCTTGAGGACCTCTTTCATTGTACTGGGAATGGAACCTTTCCTTCAAGGGAAACAGGAATCCTGTAGAAAATGGTAGAAGTGCAGAAACTGTATCTTTTTTCCTAGAAAAAGAAAAATGATGTGTAGGTTTTATTATGACAAATTATAGCCCAGTTATTTGTCTCACCTCTCTGACAGATAAACTAGTGCTCAGCAGGAGCAAGTGCTGTAAATAATCAGTTTGCTATTTATACACTGAAATGGGAAACACGTTTATGGGTAACAATAATAATTAGAAAACATTTATAAAAAGCTGCTGGGTTGCTATTTGGTGCCTCTGGAGTGAGCAGCTGTAAGAAAGCAAAAACAATCAGTGCAACTTCAGAGAGACTGAGAATGGGTTCCATGAGCTTAAATTGTCAATAATAAAGATGTAACAGCTTCCAAGCAAATTAAAGTCTTGATGATGTTCCCATTTAAGTGAATTAGGCTTTCAACTGATTTTAATAAAAGTTGCCCTAAATGTTTAGGGTACTGATCTGAATACACGAAACAAAATTATTTGACACACAAGGAGTGTGTTATAACTCCTCTATTAGAAAGGCTAAAATAAATGTGGCTGGTTTTTTTTCCCCTTACCTTGATTTGCTGCAGGCTTTTCCTTGCTGGTATCCTGAAAATTGACCTTGGTGCTGACCTCGTCTCCCAGCCCCTTTTCTTGTTTAGTCCCTTACCGGGGGGTATTATTTCACTGGGGATTTCAACTTTGCATGCTGTGCAAAGAACCCCTAGAACTTACTTCCTTGTGTGGTTTATTAGCAAGGCTAGTTTATTAGTGGGGCTGCACAGTCACTGCCTGTTTTGTTCTATGTTGTTGCAGCAGGGTTGTTACACAGCGCTGATCTGCTGTGAGAGAAAATAATTCACACACAGAAGCTGCCTTTCAGAACAGGGTAGGGAATTCAGTGTTCTATGTTTGCGTGGCCCTTTGCTGTGGCCAAATTTTGCAGGGGCTGGTATGAGAGCTCATGGTATTGAAGCAAAGTTACTTACTAATTTTTCCTCTCTAGGGTCTAGGTGGAGGGCAGGGGGAAGGGGAGAACAACCTGGGTCTCAGAGCTGTCTGAGAGCACTGCGCAACTGCTGCATGGTTGTAACACTGACCTGCCGCTCTACAGTGTCACCAGCACATGTGAAACTGCTGTAAGATTGTTGAAACTGCAAGGAGCAGGAGAGACTAAGAGTGGCAGGATACATACCCTGAAAGGGGCTGAGGGGATTTTGCTGCTAGGAGGGATATTTTATGGACGTACCCGATCGTCCCTGTGGGTGAGAAGAGGATGCTGCTCTGAGCACTAGGTCATAAACTTGGTCCTGGTAGCATTTCAAGCCATGGCCTTCTCTAGCCAGTGAGTTTTTCTCATGAAGCACTTATGGCCTCTGGTTTAGCTTTCGTTAAGATGTCTGTGATAATGGGGAAGATTGAGGTTGGACTTGGTCTTACAAGTCAGGTCATAAATCTTTCTTCTGGCCATTATCATGTTACGATACTGCAGAGAATGATTACTCCAGCAAGTCCAGAACTGTTTCATATTGAAATTAATGTTGCCTTGCCAGTGTGTAAGGACAAGAAGTTGTATCATTTCATCCAAAGATCATACTTGCAAGCAGCAGCAAATGATGAGAATTACTAATGTATAAAAGATCATACTTTAGGATTATCTGAATTAAACTCATTCCTTGCTGTTAGTCTTTCTTTCTGCAAGTGCATTACATACACTGTAGAATTTATTTGGTCGAATGTCTAAAATTACCATGTTACGAACATGGTTTTGTGAAACTTGGCTATATTTTTTATCAAAATTCTTACGTCTGTTTACATCAAGGAAAATTCCCCTTTCCTAAACAGTTCCTGTTAGATACAGATACAGCAGTGTCCACAAAGTAGTATTAACCCACACGTAGAGCAGTATTGAATTTTATACACTTTAGATTCTGGTATGGATACTTTGTTGAAACAGAACAGGAAAAACTTGTTCAATGGATTGATTTTTAGTTAAGTTCACAGAAGAGCTATGGGCCTATGTCAACCAAATTTGACAGAGGAGTGGAGCTCTCCCAAATACTACAAGCTTTTAAAAATCATTGGGTGGAAGTAATTCAGTTTTCTGTTGTCTTTGGTCTGCTGGTGCACCAGTTAGTGTTTAGATGGTGATTAATTATGAGCTACTCCTTACCTTATGAGGAAATACGAGGTGAAGAGGGGAGGGAAATGAAAATACTATGTAAGGGAAGTGAGGTTACAGAAGACACAGGGAAATGATCTCGGATTACTGTGGTGAGGAAACAGGTAGGACATTGGATACAAATCCATAGCCGATGAACTTCATTAGTTCTGCAGCTGAAGGAACAATTTGTTTCCTTTCAAACAGCAGGGTGGTCTAGGTATTTGAAATACCTAGAAGGAGCTCTGGGAGCTGGATTAACAAGTTTGTTGCAATCATGTAACAAGTTGTATTGTTCTATATAGCACAACTGTATGTCACTATAGGGAAGTGACATGCAAAATATGAAAGAGGGGAAAAATAGGAAAGAGGAAGAGTAGGACTGGGTGGGCAACAGAACTGTAACTGGAAGAAATGGCACTGGTGGCTCAGCATTGTGTCCCTGTGGTGATGAATGAGATAAAAATGTTTGATGGCTGAATGACCGAATAGCATGAAGTATATTCCCCTGTCAGTTTATGAGTACGAGAGGCAAAACCACAGGGTGATTCAGTACCTAAGTCAGGATCCTGCTCTGAGTCTTCCCGTTGGAGGAACACCCCCACCGCCCCCATATGTGAAGCTGGGGGTGACTGAACTCCTTAAGCTTGGAGGTCCAAAATTAACCAGTCTACATACCCTCTTCTAACTCCCTTCACAGGTATAGGGAAAACAAACACGAGGAGGAGGGGAGGATTTGACAATTTCCCTACCCCTCCATGATTTTAAAGTAGTTTTTATGTGTAGTTCAAACACAAAATATAATACTGGATTGCTGATTCCATGCAACAATGTTACAGAAGTTCTATCAAATACAGCCCAGTTACTATCAGTTGTTTTATATTAATAAAGTAATAAGCAAACCTAGACAGAAAGAGAAGAAATCACAGTACTTGGAAAAGAAAAAGAGCCTAAGAATTATTCTCCTCTGCAGGTGCAACCTCAGCTAGCAGCACTAGGTTAAGGCTATGTTACATGTTGTATAAACATCTTGCCTTTTCTGTGGATGAGCTGCAGCATTTGCAGCCTCTCATGATACAGTCAGAGATCTCTGTGCTGTTTTGTGCTGGTGCTTTAGAGTTTGTCAGTAAAGCTGGTCACCTTTTAAATATCAAATATGAAATTGTACATATAAATATATATTAAGTCTACTTTAAAATCTGAGGTTGGTCCTTTGTTTTGTTGTTGATTACTATAAAAATGTAGCAGAATACTCAGCAGATACTGACCTCCTCTTTTATTATACTTTTTAAACTGCCAAAGACTTTTTTTTTTTTAAATAAAGAAGATAATTGCTGAATTTTCTGTGCTGCGTAGATCAAGAAAACGCTATGTTCGATTTTTTGCCTCAACTGTTCACTCATGAAAGAGAAAGAAATCTCATTTCATGGGAATCATTCAAAGCGTTAATAATCTCGCTGCATCACTTTGCCTTCAAAATAAATAGTACAATATCCTTTTAATTATACATACACTGTGGCTTAAAAAGAGACAAACGACAAAGAAAAATCTGCATGATAAAAGGCTCCTAAACTTGCAGCATCCCTTGATCAAGACTTACTATGAAGCACTCGCTGCAAACTCCTTCCTCACCTGCCTCTAAGCTGCCTTGAAACCCCGTTACACCAACGGCGTCCAACCAAATCCAACCAGAGCCACCGCCACTGCCATCACCGCATCACGGTTAAATGCGGCCCTGCTGGGGCATGCCAAGCGAGGGGAGCAAAACTAGAGCAAAGTCAATCTCAAGTAGGGGCAAAGTTAGCCTGGAACATCATTCTGCTGGTCTGTCCTTGTCTCCCCTTCAGTACAGCAAATAGCACTTACTTACTGCTTGGCGCCGTTGCAGTTATACAGCTTTTCCACCAAGAAGAAAGTGGTTAGGAATGGCTCTTTGAATAGAAGTCCAAGTCACTTGTTTCAATGGCTCGTTCAGCGTCTGTTAGAGTTGTGGAGGACTCTTGTGTTTGGTGCAGGCTCTCAATTTGTGGAATTGAATGTACACTTTCAGATTTCTCTCAGGTTTTTGCTGAGGCTGTTCTGTCTTGGTTTTGACTCTTTGTCTATAAATGCCATTTAAAGGCTGTTACTTTTTCTTCTTTTTTTTTTTTCCCCAACAGTATCAAGAACAAAAATAAAGGCGAACTAATCCCCCCAGTAATGAAGGAAACTATATCCTACCTAAAAAGAAAAGGTGAGTTTTGTGTCAAAAAAGGATGTCTCTTTCAGAACAAGGACGATAGTATGAAACTATGTAACGCAGTGCCTGATTCAGCAAAGTTTACAGCTGCACAAGATATGTTTATGTCCTGAAAGCTTGAGTGGCAATTGGGCAGTGCCTTGAGAGCTTTGATGGATAGGGAATGCTTGTTATCAGATTATTGTCCCACTATGAAAAAAAACCCAAAAACTTTTTGCCCTTAGGATTAATTAGGGAATAGCAAATGAGAGAAGATGTCCTGAAATACACATTGTCAACCCATATTGTATTGTTGGTTTTAAGTAGAACTCCCAGAAAAAATCAATGAGAAGTTCTGTTTTTATAGAACCAGTGGCCATAAAAAGTCGTTGAAAATGTGTTTTGCAGGAGTCAGCCTGAAGTCCTCCATTCACAAAATATTTCTACTGGCATTTACGGTCCCTTTGACTGCAGTTCATGTTTATAGTTACGTTATATAGGGATATGGATTATAAAGACCCATATCTAAAATGGGAGCATTCAAATCTGAGTTCCCTATATCGCCTTCATGTACAGGGCAAAGAGAGGGTAGACTTTGAACCGCTTGCTATACCACTGAGCTCCCCAGTGCCTACCTGACCAACATAAAGGACCAAATATCAAGTGCATTCTGTAGGGTAGGTGCACTGTGTTCCCTACAAAGGGACAAAGGCACATTCAGGGAGAAAGTCAGAGATAAGGCTGTAGTCTTGAAATTCGTTTTCCCAGTGTAATGTGATTTTACATTTTGATCCCTGATTTTTAAGGCAATCAGAGCAATATTTCCATAGCCCTTTGTGCTCCAAGGCCTCAGAGTTTCACGAATGTTTGCTAAATCTTACAGTGCTAAATCTTACAGTACTAAATCTATAGCCTAGGTACATTTATCTTACAGGTGACAAAACAGAAACAGAGCATAACACAGTTATGTGACTGGCACAACATTACGCAGCGGTAGCACTGGGAACGATTCCTAAGATCCTTGAAAGAAGGGTGTGAATTTTTAATAGGTGTGTCGAGTGAAGAAAATCAAAATGTGTTTGGTTCAGTTGTTTCCTTCTTTTTTTTTTTTTTTTTTTAAAATATCACTGGCATTTGATATGCCATTAAGTTTGGTTAATGTTTGAACAAATTTCGAGGATCAGCGTGATTTTTGTTAAGACAAAAAACAGACTCAGATCTCTATATTGCTGTTAAATGAGTTTTATCTGAGATTTTCCTCATTTAAAGAACTATCTGTATTGACAGCACACAAATAATACAAAATACAAATTTTGAGTAAATTGTATTCTTCTGTAGACAGGCTCACCCAAAACCTATATCCCACAATATTCCTAATTCTTAATTTGCATCCTTGAGCTGTCATTCTGAACAAGGTAAATTTTGCTTTCAGTATTCAAATAGTATGCATCATTGATCTCTGTTAATTTTAACTATTGCCACTAGGGTTTGGTCTGAGTTTGAGTTTATTTGAACCCTAAGTGAGAAATTTCAAACTTTTTAAAAACTTGTACTGAACAGGCTTCACATTTGTGAAGACAAAGGTGGGGTGCGCAAGAAAAACGTTGCTTCTCAGCTTTATTGCTGATTCTCAAGAGAAATCCTGGTTTCATTTAAATCAGTGCAAGATCATACCGATCTAAATGAGGGCAGACTAGACACTTAGTGTCTTGCCCTCATTGCTAGGCTATGCTCCTTCATATTTTAGCTTACCCCATGGTAAATAAGAACATTAAATAACTGCCCATTTTATTTTTGTTTGGGTTTCGTACCTTGAGTGAAGCTGATTAATGATATGCATAGGAGAATGAGAGAGAGATCCACTGCAGTGGATACCTGCTTACAGTTTGCAAGCAGTGGAGCATAGCATCTATAGGGGTGCTTGTGTACAGAACAGCTAGCTCCTCGCCTCTTGAAATTGCTGATTTATCTTCAAAATACCTGCAGTAGCCAAGGCCAAGTACTGGAGTGGGGCCAGTTCTGCTATTAAAGGTATCTACTGATCTGCAGTAGATGAAGAGTTCCTAATAGACTTCATTGAAGGTCTCTTGGTCCAAATTCAGGATTTCCACTCAAGCCCATAAAGCTGTTTGGATGTGCTGTTTCCAGACTGGTGCTAATGACGAAAACTTTGCAGGTGTAGCTTGTATCAAATATTATGGTTGGATACAGAGAATGTAAATAGTTCACTACTAAGAACGTTGAAGGCAAGTGACTGGCAGCTTGAGACAATCCCTGTAATTATAATTGTAAGTGGATAATTAGAGCTTGTGTAGTGTATCAGTGCATACCCCATCTGCAGATGAAAGCCAGACTTTTTCGTGTTTTAAATTGTTATGAAACAATCATCCTTACATATATTTAGCTTATCTTAATAGGCAAATACCTCTTCCTCACCAATCACAGGAGTCAAGAGAGCTAAAATGAGGATAAATGCGCACTAACATCATTACTTCTCCCAGCTGTTATTATTTAGAAATTGAGTGAAAATTTAGTCACTAAAATGTTAATTGGTTTAAACTTTTGGCTGTGCTGGGGAGGAAGGCTTTGCATATCTGGCACTTCCTTGGACCTATTTAAAGATTTTAAAGAAACAGGAGGTTTATGGCCATCATTATATTGTGCTGGTGACCAGGAACTAGTAATTCTTGCACTGATTTGACACAAAACCTCCTCCATGTCTTGCTTTTGTTCTCTCTGGGTGTTTTGTCTCATCACTATTGCAGCAGTCCCATACTCTTCCCTCTCACCAATTGCTGAGTCTAGCTCAGATACCCACAGTTTTCTGCAGCAGCAACGCCAACTGCGCTGTACAGGGAAAAAAGGCAAGTTTTAGTTCTCATGGTTGTGCTAAAAGAAAGGGTTGGCTCAACCTTGTCATTGCAGAATTTCTCCTAGATGAAATGTTTGTTATTCTGAAAGCAGTAATCCTTGGGTTTTCTCCAAACTTCATCCTTTTTGGCTAAAAGCTCGTCTGTTCAGTGCAGTATCAGCACAGTTTGTAAAGCATAGTCTCTGAGGAAATGTGATGATAGTTCTGAACGAAGCCCTTGTCCTACTTTATGCATCTCTGCAAGTCAGCGGTGTGGTAATGCTGGCCACTGATACGTAGTCCAGCCATGCACTTGCTAGCCGGACTATCTCATTTTTCCCCCAGCTCTCTGTCCTTCTGTGCCCCCAGGAAGGAAGGGCATGGGCTCTGTCAGCGTTGATATTTTGCAACCAAGCCCAGGTTTGCTCAGAGCTGTCATATTCCCAATCATAAGGAGATCTCCACAAACCAGATTTCTAAGGAGAGATGGCTTGTCAGATAGAGTGTTTTCTGACATTCTCAGCCAGCTGATGCTTGAAAGCCAAGTACCTGCCATGCCGAGGCTGTTAAGCAGTAGGTGATAGACATACATTTTTTTGCACTTGATTATAAGTGTGCAGGTATCTGTTGTACCTGCTGTCTGCTATGATTTTAACTCTTTCTCTAAATCTGGAATATCTCAATTCTGCCATCAGCTTCTACGAGTGTCGGTTCCTGTGCTGACAGCCCTGGGAGGCTGACTGGCAGCGTTCTTTGCACTCCAGACGTGGCCGTGAGCACAGCGAGAGCTTCAGTTCATCTTCCGGAAGTGACAAAAATTCGCTGTCATTACCCTATTCCATTTGATTTTGGCATAGTTTCCAGCCTCGAAGAATTAGCAGGGAGTGGGGTTTGTTTTTTGCCCTATGTGCAGTATTTCCCATTCTTTCTTCCCATTGCTACATTTTTACATCTATGTACCTGAAATCAGTTTCTGAAACTCTGATTTAGGTTACAAAAGCTGCTGCAAAATCATGCTTCATCAACAGGGTTAAGATGAAACATCAGAGACCCTCTGATGTCCGTTAAGTCCATTCTGTACTGCTCAGGCTCTTACTTCTTGAACAGATGTGATGAGGGAGCTGTGGTGGTATTCAAACTAGGCACCAGCCTGTAGTAGTATGCTACCAGGCTAAGGAAACTTTCCGTCTCTAAAGTTCGCCCAGCCTTTTTCGTCTTAATGACTCTGATCCCTTTGACAGATTGCTTCATGTCACATTTTTCCTCCTTGATGTTTAAATTTTCTGCCTCAGTTTCAGACAACACTGTTGGCAGAAGTGTTCTTCCCAGTGAGAAGACATCCTCATCTGTACAAATGAGCCAAAACTCCCCTTCTTGTACCGAGTTATTGAGTGGGCTCTGACAGCAGCAAGCCTGTCCTCATCCCCAACAGCCAAATTAGCGTTATGACAGTGTGTGTGGGTTTCTTCCTCATATATTTATCCGACTCCATATTTAGGTAGCTGTTTCTGAGCAAGATGACTCTCACTAGATCCAGTTAGTAAGTCACCCAGTACCTTAACAGGACTAAAGAATCTACTCTAAGCAGAGATTCCTCTACATCTGTTTGTATTATATAAACAAGATCTATTATGGCTGATGCCTCAGACACTATTACAATAAACACAATAAACAAAGTTTTCTTAATTTCTGTAATAATTTTCATGTTATTTTTTCAACAAAGGAAGAGAAAGTAGCTATTACACCACTTTCATTCTAGCTCCACTTTAGAGTGAAAAACGTTTTTAAAGTTTTTAATACTGAGTTTTAAAAATGCTTAATTTCAGTTCCTGCTAACCTTCACAGGGAAGAATTGGTTTCTTAAATGTGTTCTGAGTATCTGAGAAAATCATCAGCTCATTAAGACTAAGCCTCAGAGTTCATCTTCTGGACCAAACCAGAGAAGTGCTCTTAATTTCAGAAGTAAGGTGTCTGTATCATCCTGAACCCAACTAATGATTTAATCAGGCCAAAGAGGAAGGGTAGATTTAACACAGCACATTTGTGACTAGATCTTCATAGTAGCCAGCAAACCAGAGGACATTTTTTTCTATGCTCAGCCTCAAAACCACAACCTGATCATCTGTCTAGTTTATAAATGCAAGGCTTGACTTGCATTTGCACT